CTCTCCTACAACCTGGAAAAGGTAACCACTGCCTCCACTTGGGTGTCCTTTTGGATTCTTGGTGTCCCTGACCTTATCAGAGGAGTCAGACCCAGCCCCAGGGGATGTGGGCTCTGTGCAGTCCATCAAGGCCTTGCAGTACTCAGGCAGTGCTGGGTGAGCCATGGGCACCCCAGGTGTAGCTGGCTGGTGGTGGGAACTTGTTTGGGGCAGAGCTGGGGACCCCCAAAGCTTTCCCCTGCTGTGGAAAAGACCTTTAAAGCTCTCAGCTTTGTGAGGAAGGGGCTGGAGCTCGCGGGTGATGGATCCCATTCTCCCCCACGCAGAAGCGGGACGAGCGGAGCGTGAAGAGCACGGCCATCAGGGTGGTGGATTTTGGCAGTGCCACGTTTGACCACGAGCATCACAGCACAATTGTCTCCACCAGGCACTACCGGGCCCCTGAAGTCATCCTGGGTAGGTGGCACTGGGTCTCTGCCAGGGCAGTTGTGCCCCTTGATGGCACTGGGTGCTCCCCACTGGGCTGGGAAGTGTTTGGGGTTCCACATCCTGTCCTGGGTTTGCCCTGGGAGATGGGAAGTGCTTTATTTAACACCTCTGCAGTGCTGTTTATTGTGAAGGCCGTAGTTGTGGCCATGTTGTCATTGTGGGGTTGTTCAGCCTGGAGAAAAGGAGGTTCAAGGGGGAACCTCTGGCTCTTCACCACTCCCTGATAGGAGGGTGGTGCCACATGGGGTCAGGCTCTGCTCTCAGGGAACTTGGGCAGGACAAGAGGAAACAGCCCCAAGTTGTGCCAGGGGATATCCAGATTGGACATTGGGAGGATTTTTTTTCCTGGAAAGGGCTGTCAGGCATTAGAAGGGACTGCCCCGGGAAGTGGTGGAATCCCCATCCCTGGAAGTGTCCAAGGAATGCCTGAATGTGGCACTGAGTGCCCTGGTCTGGGTAACTCTGGGTAACAAGGTGGGGATTGGTCCCAGGTTGGAGTTGGTGATCTTAAAGGTCTTTTCCAACCTTGATGATTCCATGATTATCAGCTGATGTTTGGCATTGCTGCCAACAGTGCCCCAGCAGCCTGGCTGGGATGGAAAAAAAAAAACCACAAAAAAACCCCAAAAAAACCAACAACCAAAAATCCCACCAACTGTTTTTTCAGTTTTTTCTTTTTAGAAGGAAGAGTGATTTGGATTCTTGGGCTGTAACTGGATCATTTATTTAAAAAAAACCCTTGTTTTTCAGAGCTTGGCTGGAGCCAGCCATGTGATGTGTGGAGCATTGGCTGCATCATCTTTGAGTATTATGTGGGTTTCACCTTGTTCCAGGTGAGAACTGTGTTGTGTGGCTACTTCCCAAATGGTGAGAGGATKCTKGRTGCTCCCCAGCACAGCTCARAGCCCCTGGGACTGATGGGGGTCCCTCAATCCCTGCARCATTTAGAGACAGCCGAGGTGTTGGCCAGATGGTTCTGGGTGGGGGAATACCCAGGGGTGAGGACAGAACCTCTGGAATGTTCCATGCCTTCCCTTGACATTTCTCTCTCTCAGACACACGACAACCGGGAGCACCTGGCCATGATGGAGAGGATCCTGGGGCCAATTCCTTCTCGGATGGTCCGCAAGACAAGGTGAGCGAGGCCAGCTGGGCAGTGCAGGTTTGCCAGCCCTCCCTGCTCCACAGGCAGTGGTTTTCCCTGAGGGATCACATTTTGGAGGGGCTGGCACCTTGCAGGGTGAGTTGTGCTCACGTGTGACCTGCTCCTGCCTGTTTTTGTGACAGGAAACAGAAATATTTCTACCAYGGCCGCCTGGATTGGGACGAGAACACCTCAGCTGGACGCTACGTCCGGGAGAACTGCAAACCACTGCGGGTAAGGCAGCTCAGCCCCTCCTCAGATCCTCCTCTGGGTCAGCAAAATGTCAGACCAGCGACTTTCTGAGGGAGCCTTGGCTGTGCCAGGCATAAACCAAGATCAGCAGCCTGAGTTTAATCTGAAGTGGAGYGCATGGAGAGTTCAGAAGGGCCCTGGGGAAGGGAGGGTGTGTAGAAATCTGTCAGTTTTGGATAGAGAAGCACCGAGCTCAGGTCCAGGCTGAGTGATGGTCAGCTCAGGGAACATCCCAGGATAAAGTGTGGCCTTCCTTGAGCCTGACCATCCCCCTCCACCTCACAGCGATACCTGACCTCAGAGGCCGAGGACCATCACCGCCTGTTCGACCTCATCGAGAGCATGCTGGAGTAYGAACCGTCCAAACGTGTCACCCTGRCCGAGGCCCTCAAGCACCCCTTCTTCGACATGCTGGGCATGGAACCCAGCACAAAAATGTGGGACTCGAGCCGGGACATCAGCCGGTGACGCCACAGGTGCCAGYCAGCCCTCGGATTCTAGCCCCCGTGGAGGCCCCGTGTGATTTCTATTCAGACACTTGGTGCTTTTTTTTTTTTATACATGAGATGAACTTCCTTGGACACATGTTTATAAAGCTGTTAATATGTGAGATATTGTAAATAGCCCAGATTCTCTGCCAGCCTCGGGAGCACCACGGCCCCGAGCTGCTGTCGCTGCTGCCGTTTTCGTGAGGTGAGGGGGGCCTGTGTGTCTGTGCTGTAAATACCTCTCGTGTTGCTTTGTCTCCTGTTTCTGCCCCCTCCTCGGTGTAAATACTCCAGGACTCGCAGCTCTCTGTAGCTTCTCTGTTTTCCCTTGTAAGTTATGGAACTGGTGGGACTGCATGGGAATTATTTTTTGGATCAATGTCATAGCCCATCCCCACACCAGAGTTTTATAAGATTTTTGTACAGTCTTTGTGAAAAATAAATATGAAGTGAATAAAGCRCCTGGCCTGGGTTTGGCCTGACAGCAGCTGATCCTGGGGCTGTTCTGCTGTGCTCAGTAGGGGAAAAGAGGGATGAAAGGAACTTTGTGGTCCAGGAGAACAGCTCTATCCACCTGCACGATTCCTCTCAAGCAAACACTGTGCAGGAGCTGCTTTCGGCCCTCAGCTGCAGCTGGACCTGAGTCAATACTGGTGTGATGGGCAGCAAACCAGGGGCTGGCTCCTTCTTCATGCCCTGGGTCCAGTTTTGGGGTGGGAGACAGAAAAAGGGACGATGGGGCCCTCAGAGAGGTKTTTTTTTACCTGAAGAAACCTCTCAGCCTTAGGGTGGAGCGCTGGCTGCTGGAAAGAGGGTGTCAGGAGCCCACATCCAGCTGTTCTACACCCACCCCAGGGCTGTTGATGTCTTTTTGGCTCTGCAGGGAGGCTGGGCCTTGGTTTGGGCTGTTCCCTGGGTATTTCTGGAGCTCTTTCACAGCTGATGGCAGAGGGGAGAGTCACTGCGGTGCGGGTGACAAACCTGCTCTGCTGAACCCTCTGCTGTGGCTCCACCAGGCTGTGCCARCTGTCCTGGCCCTGGCAGGCTCTCRTGGTGCAGAGGGGAAAGGAAAYGTCTGGTTTGAGCTCGAGTGAGTTTGAGGTAGTCTTAGGAAGGGTGACAGTGAGGGATCTCCATGGGCTTGGCATCCTGACTCACTGAGCTTGGGCTGGSAGGCCTCACCTTCCTGCTGTGGCAGCCAGGGCAGACCCTGTCCCACTGCCCGTGTGCCCAGCCCTWCCCTGGGGCTGGAGAAGGATCAGAGTGACCAAATCATACCTGTGGTCTATCTCAGACTGAAAAAAAAAAAAAAAAACAAACCAAATTGACACTGGTGTCCAAAAGCCAAACCCAAGGCTTCTACCTGCCCAGGTGCCACCTGTCTGGGTTGAGGTGGGGGCTCACCTGTGGGGTTTTGTGTCATTTTAAGTCTGTTCGGAGTCTAAAGGATATTTTTAGCAGGCTCTGCTGAGAGCTGGGAGGGGACTGAGGGCAGGGACAGGTGCCTGTCCTGCTCCTGTGATGCTGAGGAATCCCTGCTCGGGAGCGGATCAGTGCGCAGTCCGTGGGCAGCTGGAGAGGATGGATTTGTGGATTCCTATAAATAACCGATACAGGAGACACAAGAGAAATTCCCCAAGTGCTCGTCGTGCCGCGAGTCCTGGCTATGGTGACAACTGCGGGGGTGGCCCCGGCGACCCCATGGATCCCGCCTGGGGGGGCTGCAGGCCCACAGCACCACGGCCCCGGTAAGAGCAGGGAGCTGGGCGGGGGGATGGGGGTGAGGCCTCGGGGGGACCCGCAGGAGGGGCCGCTGTCCCGGTACCTGCGGCTGGGTGGGGCCCCGCAACCGTGGGAGAACCGGGGGGCGATGGGTATCGGGATAGGGGGACCGGGGGGCGATGGGGACTGGGACAGGGACACCGGGGGGTGATGGGGACCGGGAGGGGATGGGCACCGGGACAGGGACACCGGGGGGCGATGGGGACCGGGACAGGGACACCGGGGGGCGATGGGGACCGGGACAGGGACACCGGGGGGTGATGGGTATCGGGATAGGGACACCGGGACAGGGACACCGTGGGGCGATGGGGATCGGGACAGGGACACCGTGGGGCGATGGGGACCGGGACAAGGGACACCGGGGCGCAATGGGGACCGGGACAGGGACACCGGGGGGCGATGGGGACCGGCACAGGGAAAACGGGGGACGATGGTTACCGGGACAGGGACAGGGACAGGGACACCGGGGGACGATGGGCACCGGGCCAGGGACACCGAGGAGGGGGTGGACACCGGGACAGGGACACCGGGGGGCGATGGGGACCGGGACAGGGACACCGGGGGGCGATGGGGACCGGGACAGGGACACCGGGGAGGGGGTGGACACCGGGATAGGGACACCGGGGGGCGATGGGCACCCGTCCCGGTCTCCGCTGTCGTGGGGGGAGCCGTGAGAAAATGGGGGGGAGGGTAACGGGATGCGCCGCACGTGACCCCCCCCTTGGACACGTGGCCGCGTCACGTGCGCGCCCCACCCGCGGCGCGGCCCCGGCGCGTGCGCAGCCGCCCCCTGCGGCGGGGTCTCCCCGATGACGTCACGGCGCGGCGGGACCAATCAGCGGGCGGGAGGGGCGGGGCTCGGTGGCGGCGGCGGCGCCGGTCCCGCGGGTCCCCGCGCGCGCGCGCTCCCGGTCCCGGTCCCGGTCCGGCCATGGCCCAACGCGGCGGCCCCGCCGTGCTCCCGGACAACCCCTTCCAGGACCCCGCCACGCTGCAAACCGGCCCGGTGCTGGACGGATACAACCCGTTCGAGAACGACGCGGTGAGCGGCGGGGCCTGCCCGGACACCGGGGCCTGTCCGAGTACCGGGGCCTGCCTGGGGCACCGAGGCTCCTTCCCGGGTAGCGGAGCCCTCCCCACGGCCGGCGCAGTCTCACCGCTCTCCTCTCCCCCTGCAGCCGCCGCCGCCGTTCCAGACCCCTTCGGTAGCCCCGCCACCACCGGCACCGGCGGCTGCGCAGCCCCCGCGGAAGGCGAGTCCCACCGAGCCCCGCAACTACGGCTCCTATGGCTCGCAGGTACGGGGGAAGGCGCCGCCGGGCCGGGAGGGTACGGGCGGCGGCGGGAGCCCAGGTTTGTGTCCCACTSTCCGCAGGCCTCGGCCGCCGCCGCCACGGCGGAGCTGCTGAAGCGGCAGGAGGAACTCAACCGGAAAGCGGAGGAGCTGGACCGGCGGGAGCGGGAGCTGCAGAACGCGGCCCTGGGCGGTTCGCAAAGTGAGTGGCTGCGGGGCTGGGGAGGGACGGGACCCGCTGCGAGCCTTCCTCGCTCCTCACTGCCTTCCGTCCGCAGCGAGGCTCAACAACTGGCCCCCGCTGCCGTCCTTCTGCCCGGTGAAGCCCTGCTTCTACCAGGACATTCCCGTGGAGATCCCYGCTGACTTCCAGAAGACCGTTACCACCATGTACTACCTCTGGATGGGTGAGAGGAACCTCGGGAACCATGGGAGGAGGTGGAGGAGTGAACATCCTGCTGGGGAAATGGGGATGAACAGGTGGTTCTGGGGGGTTGGGGAGCCCAGCTCGGGCTCCTGAGTGCTGTCCCCTCCCTCAGCCAGCACCATCGCTCTCTTCTTCAACTTCCTGGCCTCGCTCGCCTGGTTCTGCGTGGACCCCTCGTATGGTTCTGGGTTCGGCCTGTCCATCCTCTGGGCTCTGCTCTACACGCCCTGCTCCTTCGTCTGCTGGTATCGGCCCATGTACAAAGCGTTCAGGTGCGTTCCTGTGCCCCATGTCCCTGCTCCAGCTCCTTGGGGCCTCGGGCTCTGCGGGACGTGGGTGTTCCACCCCAAAGTTCCCCATTCCCCCTGCATCTCCTGCTTTCTAAGAAAAGTTTGAGAGCTCTTTTCTGTGGCCTAACCTCGCCGGTCTCTTCCTTCCAGGAGCGACAGTTCCTTCAACTTCTTTGTCTTCTTCTTCGTGTTCTTTGCCCAGAACGTGATGTACGTGCTGCAGGCCATTGGCATCCCAAACTGGGGGTTCAGGTGAGCCACGTGCTGACCCCAAAGAGGCGAGAGGAGGGTGGGGAGGAAGGAACCCGGGGACAGCGGGCTCTTGTTTTGCAGTGGCTGGATCCTGAGCCTGATAGCGCTGCGGACTAACACGGCCGTGGCTGTGATGATGATCCTGGTGTCCCTGTCCTTCACGGCCGTGGCTGTGCTGGGGATCATTATGCTGAAAAAGGTGAGTTTGGATCAAAGCCTGTGGTCAGACCCCTGCATTTGGGGGAGCAGCCCTGACCCCCGCCCTGCTCCCACCCTCCAGATCCACTCTCTGTACCGCCGGACGGGCGCCAGCTTCCAGAAGGCTCAGGAGGAGTTTGCRGCCGGGGTCTTCTCCAACCAGGCCGTGCGCACAGCCGCGGCCAACGCCGCCGCCGGCGCGGCCACCAACGCCTTCCGCGCGCCGTAGCCGTGCGGGCACCTGGCCCTGCCTCCCCGGCGCACGCGGGCTCTTCCCGAGGAAGAGGAAAATCCGAGTTTGCACTTTCCACTGGATCCCCGTGCGTCCGCATCAGCTGTCAGAGGCTGCCTCATCCCAGCTTGGAAGTGCTGGTGCCTGAATTGTCTGCTGCTCTTAACCCCCTTTCCTCACGGACAGAGGCTGTTCTGGTTTGTGCTGGTCCCCTCCCCTCAGCAGACTGGGGGGAGCGGGGTGGGAAGCGCTGCGGCCGAGCCCTGAGCCCACCATTGCCCTTCCAGCAGCAGCTGCTGGGGGTGGGAGCCTCCTCCCGATGGCTGCAACGCCGCTTCCAGGGACTGCAATGGTCACTTGCTTTCCTCTGTGCTCTCCCGTTTCCCTGCCTGGCGATGACACTTGTGCACCCTGGGGTTCGGAGGGGCCCCTTGCCCCCTGTGTGCCCAGGGACCCCCGTGCTCGGCCGAGAATCCCCCTCTCCGTCCTGGGGCTTGCTCCAGCGGGATGGGGATGGGGCTGGTGCTGTCCTCAGCGTGTCCTGTCCTTTTGTTCCCGTCCCTTTCCCTGTCCTCTCCCTCTCTCCAGGCACAGGGACGAGGGGAGCAGGGCAGGGCCGGGCAGCGCTCGGGCAGCTGCTGCCTGTGGGGATCCTGCCTTTAGCCCGTGTGGACCCCAAAGCCAGGCTGGGTGCTGAGGAGCAGCCCCTGGTGTTTACATGGCTCCCCCTTCGCCTTTGGGGAGGGGTGGACAGCTCCTTCCGTCCCCCTCCCCACCCGCTTCAAGGACTGTGACCCCTCGCTCCCCCCAGCACCCTTCACCCAGAGCCTTCACCCTGCTCGGGGGCTGAGCCAGACCCTGTGCGCAGCCCCGTGCCCCCCTTACCTGCCCTCTGTCCCCTGTCCCGGTGTCCCCGGAGATGCCCAGGACAGGTCTCATGCGTTCTGCTTTGCCCCATCTCCTCTCAGATGCTCTCGGTTTGTCCCTGCAGCTCCGGGGCTGGCGAGAGGCTTTGTGCCTTCAGCTGTGGGGGCCGGTGCCCGCCCCGTCCCGCTGCGGCGAGGGCTCCTGCGGGGGTCCCCGCCTCCCCCGCTGCTCCCCCTGTGCTGTCCCCGACCGCCTCCGGGTTTATTTAAGGAATAAATGAAGTTTCACTCTGTTTCCTTCACTGTCTCCGTGCTCTCACCGGCGCCGGGGGGAGCGGCGGGGCCGGGGTCGGTGTCGCAGCTCCCGGGGGCGGTGTGGGTGGACTACAGCTCCCGTCGTGCCGCACAGGGGCGGCCCCGGGGCGGGCGCGGCCGAGCAGCTGCTCCTCAGCGGGGACCGTCCCCGCAGCTCCCGGAGCTCCGGCCTCCAGCTGCGGCCCCGGGCATCCCKGAGGGCGCGGCGGCGGCGATGCTCGGCCGCAGCCTCCCTCCGGCCCGGTGTCCCCGCCCGCCGCTCCGTACGGCGCCGGGGCTGCGGGGCTCGGGGCGGACAGAGCGCCGGTAGCCGCCCGCCCTTACCGCTACCGGCGCCCGCYGCCCGCGGAGGATGCTCCGGTCCGGACCGCGGCTCCCGCCTGCTGCCGCTGCCCCGGGGGCCGCGTCCCGGGCGGCGGCTCTCGGTCCCCGCGGGGCGGGATGATCCCCCGGCGAGGGCCCGGCGCTCCACCGACGGCCAGGGAGGAGGCGGCGGTCCCGGGGCCGCGCTCCGTTGTCGGCCGGCGGCTCTAGGCCGGCCCCGGTGCTCAGGGAGCGGTGAGGCCGGTTCTGTCCTCCGCCGAGCTTCTGGCGGCCCCGGCCCCGCGTGGCCGTGGGCGCTGCCCGAGCCCCCCCCGCCCCGCCCGGGGCAGTGAAGAGCCGCCGTCAGCATCCTCCGGGAGGCGAAAGGTGGAGCCCGGCCCGTTCCCGCAGAGCGGCCGCTCCCGCTGCCCGCGGTCCTGGCGCGGTGCCGCCGGCTGCCCCGGGGCTCCGGGGCCGGCCCCGAGCCACCGCCCGCCGCGGCCATGCCCTCCCCCACCGACTCCAGCCGCTCGCTGACCGGCCGCAGCTCCCGCAGCCTCACCCACCTCCGCCTTCAGCGCACCTGGCTGCAGGTCCTGCTGGTCCTGGGTCTCGTCCAAGCCATCCTGGGCGTCCTCATCGTCACCTTCAGCCTGGTGGCGGCCACCATCACGCCCTCCACCAAAATCCGGCACTCMTGCCCGTCCTGGGCCGGCTTCTCGGTGAGTGTGGGGCCGGGGCGGCGCGGGGAGGGGGCTGCACGGCTCCCCGGGGGCCGAGCTTGCGGCCGGTCCCAAGGGAGGGCAGCCCCGCTGCTCCCCCACCCTCTGCCCGTGGCTGCCGCGGTGCATTGTGGGAGAATCCCAAGGGCTCCCCCAGGGTGACTCTGTGAGGGATGGGGACCCCCGAGGGGTGCGGGGACGCGCTGAGGTTTGCGCTGCGGGCAGGGAGGAAAGCGGGGGCACAGCAGTGACCACAGGGCAGGGACCGGGTAGCGATGGGGGCTCTGCTCTCTCTGCTGGACATTGGGGTGAGGGCAGGAGCCGGGGTCCCCCGCGGTGAATCTCCAGCACGGATCGTGGCCTGGGTTTGCTGCCCAGCCAGAGCAGCCCGCAGTCCCCCGGCCCTGAATCAGCAGTTTCTCCCATCTTGTCGGCGCCAGGGCTGCTCCGACCGCCCTGCTGCTCCTGGGCTGGCTCCAGGCCTGCAGGGGTCGGGGGGCTCTGCCCGCCGCCAGGGGCTGCTCGGGGCCCCAAAGGGGCAGAGCTTCCACCCCGTGCTCACGCCGGGCCTTGCGCCTCCGCAGCTGGCGCTGTCCGGGCTCGTCGGCATCATCTCCTGGAAGCGGCCGCTCACCCTGGTGGTAGGTGTTGGGGGGAYGCCCCTGGGCAGGCGGGGGAGTCCAGGATGGGGGGTTCGAACATCCCCTCGCCCCCGCTCCGCAGCCCTGCGCGGCCGGCAGCCCCTCTCCTCCCGCTGCAGATCGCCTTCTTCACGCTGCTGTCGGTGCTGGGCGTCATGCTGAGCCTCGCCGGCTCCATCCTGTCCTGCCAGAACGCGCAGCTGGTCAAGAGCCTGGAGGCCTGCGAGAGGGTGAGGCTGAGCGGGGGCAGCCCCCGGTGCCCCCCGGGCCTCTCCGCACAGCTCATCCCCGGCTGCGGTGCTCCGGGGAGCTGCACAGCCGGGGTCGAGCCGCGGGTCGCGCTGGTGGCTCTCAGGGGACAGCGCGGCATCCGCAGCTTCCTCACGGTGTTTCCTGTCCCCAGGAGAGGGACTCGTGTGTCTGCTGCCAGGCCCGCTCGGAGCCCCCGCCCGCCTCCTGCAGCCAGCAGAGCGAGATGCTGACCATGTTCCCCAACCCCAACTGCCGGAGCATCCGCGTGGCACTCAAGGTGCACGGYCAGGGGGATACCAGGGCTCCCTGGGAAGCGGCCGCACGCCCGGCCACGCTCTGCGGGCTCCGCAGCTCACCCCACTGCTCCCCAGGATCTCCTCTTCAGCGTCTGCGGCTTGACCATCTTCTCCACCGTCATCTGCACGCTCTCCGCCGTCGTGTGCTGCATCCAGATCTTCTCGCTCGACATTGTCCATGTGGTGAGTCCCAGCTCCGGGCCGGATGGGGCTGGGATGGGTTCTGGGGTGCCAGGAGCTGGTCCCAGCCAGGTGCAGATTAAAGCCCGGGATGCACATCCCTTGCTGGATTCCTGGGCAGGAGGTCTCAGCTCTCCCTTCTCCCTTCTCCCTGCAGCTGGTCCCCCAGCGCTCGAGCTCTGTGACGTTGGAGTGCACGTCCCCACCCGACACCTTTCTGCAGAGCATGATGGACTTCGACGAGTTCGTGCCCCCGGTGCCACCGCCCCCTTATTACCCACCTGAGTACACCTGCAGCTCCGAGACGGATGCGCAGAGGTACCAGCCTGGAGCTGGTGGAGCAGGGGGGGTTTGTGTGTCCCCACGCAGGGCTCGTCCCACCCTGTGCTGCTTTTCTGCTCTTGCCTCCGCAGCATCACCTACAACGGCTCCATGGACAGCCCCGTGCCCCTCTATCCAACCGATTTCCCCCCGTCGTACGAGACCGTGATGGGGCTGCGGGGAGACAGCCAGGTGAGGGCTGCGGGCGAGGGGGACCGGGCAGGGCGGGCTCCTTCTCGGCTGAGCCCTGAGCGCTTTGTCCCTCAGGCCACCCTGTACGACTCGCAGCTGACCGATGGCTCCCACGCCTGCACCTGCGACCGCGTCCCCTCCATCGTGCTCAGCGGAGAAGGTGAGCGCTCCCCCCGGCGTGGGGGACGGGACAGGGACCGTGGCGGCTCCGGCTCTTCCCGGCAGCTCCTCAGCGGCGCCCACCCGCTCCTCTCAGTGTCCATGGACAGCGGCTCGCTGATCATGTCCGAGATCATGGACATCCCCGGGGACAGCAGCCCCTCGGAGGACTCGTGCCTGCTGGAGCTGCAGGGCTCCATGCGCTCCGTGGATTACGTCCTGTTCCGCTCCATCCAGCGCAGCCGCGCCGATTAYTGCCTGAGCGTGGACTGCGTGCAGTGCAGCCACCACGCTCGCAGCCCCACGCTGGGCTTGCAGGGCCCCTTCGAGGAGACACCCCAACCCCGCGTGCGGGGAGAGCGATCCTACTCGTGCTCCACGGCGGAGCCCGGCCACGACGGCATCCTGGCCGGGGGAGCCGTCACCCACAGCTGCAACCGGCTGGCGGGGCTGGCGCGCTGCGCCGGGCCCTGCTTCCCCGAGGTGCGGCTCAAGGACAAGGGCTCCTCGCTGCAGGGACGCGGGGGTGGCCGCCCCGCCGAGCCCGGTCGCCCCGGCCAGCCCCGGCGCAACAGCGAGACCTCCTGCCCGTCGTCGCCGGCCCCGGGGCTGGCCCCGCGCCCGCTGCTGAGGTCACACAGTGACCCCGGTGTCCCGATGGCCAGCCACGCTGGTAGGTGACGGTGACCGGCGGGAGGGGATGGGGATGTTCTGCAGCCGGGATGTGCTGCAGGGTTTGGCTGCACAGATGGGATTAGAGGCGKTCTGGGGAGGAACGGGGGGAGAAGGGGAGGTCTGCTGGGCTGGGAGCTGGGTGGTGACAGGGGGCTGTGGTGCCTGGGCTCGGCACAGCCCAAACCTGAGGGCTCTCTCTGCTCCCAGCAGATTTCAGGGAAGTACTTTATACCAAAGCATTGGAGGACACCGTGTCCGACTCCTCCGCTGATACAGGTGAGGGCACTGGGATGCACTGGGATAGAAAGGGGGCTTGGGAAGGGGTCTGTGACCCTTTGAGGACCGGGCTCACTGTGCTGGGGCTGGGACAAATGGGACCCACAGTGGGACTGCTCCTGCTGACCARGGATGGGAGACAGCAGGACCCCAGGCCTGTGG